TAGAAATCGTTACATCGTCTCTATTGTTACTATGAATATATATATATATATATAAAACTGGTTCTGCCACGCTATGTACAATACTCTGTTCGAGATCTCTTTTCTATTGTAGCGCAAAGTTAATCTCGCTGAAGCAATCGTGCTTTAATTTACTGCACTCATACGGATACATTCCATTCGCCAAAAATTTTAGTGTACGCGACTGGCGTAAAGTACGATGTCATTCGCATTTTCGATTTTTCAGAATTTGACATCTTCATTCACGCGGACACTCGATCAGCTCCGTTGAACGTACTTTAATGGCAAATATCTTATCTCCGGCTTGCACCACAGCCATGACGGGAAATAGTATATAATGATACATAGGAGATCGATAAACGCGCAAAGTTTTTCGCGAGGAGGCAGCTGACGCGCGAAGATTACCACCAGTTTCCCGCCTGGATTTTTATTGGCAGCAATAGGAACGAAAGTTGGCAAGAGATTGATGTATGTGCCTCGGAATCGAACCCACATCCCTCTTTGTCTTATTTTAGTTCACGCGTTCCTCTGTATTATATCCGGCATCTGGCTTGCGTCTCTACGTGTCTTTCGTAAGTTCTCTTCTTTTATTCACTGAACGTCAACACCCTATAACGAAATATATACTATACTAAGGACGATAAACTGAAGAAACCAGCGCTGCGCGCGTCTATTACGATCGATCGAATTTGCACTGACCGTGGCTTAAGCGGAGGGTGACCATCCCTTGCGTAATTTTCACCCTTAGCTCCTTTTGCTTTGCGGCAGCGGTAAATACCGGAAGCGTGAAGCTTTTTTTTTATCGGGACATCCGTGTAGGATTAGATAGGGGAATAATCGTTCCATTATCGAGCATTATCTATACCGTTGATACTAGGCTGAAACGATGCATTTAATGCATACGTAATTTTTATGTTCTCGTTTGAGAGAAAGAAGTGAAGCGAATGAGAGAAAGAAGTGAACGTAAGAGAAAATAAATAGGGGGAAAAAATGCAAATAAATATATAGGCGTGATTTATTTCAGTAAAAGATACGCTTGAGAAAAAGTAAAATTGATTGAGTTTAACATACCAAGAATAAAGTGAGCGCAATAATCAGTAATATATATAAGTGAATAAAATTAAAAATAAATACAGATAAACAAGATAAATATTTGAACGCACAACTTTATATTTAACTATGGTACAAATTTATACTTATATTAAACGATGCTCTTGATTGTTTCTGAATCATTGAATTTAAAAAGATGTTTTTAAGAAAATTAATTTTATAAATACATTCATTTTATTAATACAAAAATTATTTTATAGAAATTTTCAAAAATATTTCTGACAATAGACAGAGATATCATTCTTAAGTTACAAAAATTAAAAAATATCGCAAATAAAATTATTTCTTTTCCTAAGTTTTCAATTCATATTTAATTACTGTTTTACTGTTATGAAAATATTTCATCTACAAAGCCGATGTGATATTCTTGATGCGGAAAAGCTTAGTATCTCGAATTACATTTTTGTAATGAGTCATTCATATACTGGGTTATAAATCCGTAATCATGGAGAACTCATAATTACACTGTCCTGGCGAATGGCTGTTCAATGTGAGACAATTCGCGCGTGGTTTCGAAAGTACAGTGCCAACGTGAGAGGCATCGTGGCGAAAAGTCATGCCTCGTTGGAAATATGGGAGGAACGTAGGAGCTTGTTTACAAGCGCAGAAAACCACATAACTATGCAGTTATGTGTACACGCGACTTTATGTCCATACACTTCCATGTGTTCTATTTATCTGGTCGGCGGACACGGATGCATTAATTTAGGTTGCTAGTGTATCTGCGGCCAAACTACGCCGGCCACCACGTCCGGAAAAGGGTCGAGAACGAATGGCGAACATTTATCTCTTTCCGATGCGTCTACCAATATAATCAATGCCGAGGTTTCTGCAAAAAGATCTCAAAATATATTGAATTTTTATCTGCCTACGGATTTTCAGATATTAGATGCATTGGTGCACATCTGCATTTTTAGATAGACTAAAATCTCATATAAAAACTGTGTGGCAATAAAACTTGTAAATGAAAAGGGACAGAAAATTAATTTGATTTATTTCTGTGAAAAATTTAAAATTAACGTTTTAAATAAGAGAATCTTCATCGATATATCGAACAATCTTCTAACGAACGTCGATTTATTCGAGTAATGTAACCACGGCAAATACACACATCACGATACTATAGAACTATAATAACGCTGGTACGTGTTTCTATGGTGGTAAATCAGATGAACGGTTACACGAACGCAAATACGTGCGATACATATTCACACGCTTTTAGCTCAGCATCTTGGTCTTTATGCAAATAAATGCAACGACTGCAGCCATGTACGTACGCATGTTAAGATAAAATAATGCAAACTGTTTTCAATTGATTATACTATCTAACGTTAATATCCTCCGTTTTCTATTATTCTCACTGTTTTCTTAAAAAAATGTTTATTTCCAGCCATTAGTATTCTATATTAATATTTCTATTATTAGCATTGGAATATTATATATTTACAGTTTCTATCTACTAGTTAAGGTTTTATAATAAACATTACATATTATTCATAATCTCTTAAAATATATTTCAAATATATTAATATTCTTTTTTTTCTGTTTAAAGGGATATTTTTAAAATGAATCGAGAATACATATATATATATATAAAACAATAAATAATAAATATGACAACTGAAATTATTATTCGTTAAAAGCAGGAGAAGCGAAATAATATCTATTTTAAATCTATTTTATATTCGTCATTGACCATCAAGAAATAAAAATATATTCCAGAACAACAAATTAAAAAACGCTTACCTGTTCAATCTTATAGTACTCTTCGTCTCTCGTACCATTAACGCTCGTTCCCAAAAGTGCACAGCCTCGGGTAAAATGGTATTCTGAAATCGAATGACAGACATATTTTAAGTTCGACACGAGGACATTAGATTATATATCTATCTGGCTGTACGCGAAAAATTGCATATCCGATAAACAAAATAATAGCATGTACACAACGGGGCTTAATTTAAAGTATCTTTGCTCGGAGAGTAAACGACGACGAGAAAAAATCCGAGTCTCGCTTTCCGAGAAACATTGCGAGCTGCATTATCGCTGCGTGGAGAATGGGGATAACAGAGCCATTACGCAACATTCTGTATTTAATGTATTCTGCTCTCTATCTGCGAAATGCCCGTTGCCAAGCAAGACGCGCGGAAACATAACGCGGACGAAATCGCGTAGAGTGAGGGAGCGAGCGGAATGGACGGTGAAAAACAGCGAAAAAATGAAATAATGCAAGCTCGACAGATGGAAAAAGCAGCCAGCCTGTTTTTATGAAGTTTCTCCGGCATATAACAACAAAATTACGCCCTTCTATAATATAGCGCAATCGTGATCTTATGAGAATGTAATGCTTTTCGGGGTTAATCCCGGCCAAGAGTATCGGATTGTGTGCGATTTTTAATTCCTATCTCCGTTATACAATTCGTGTCAGTAAAAAGTCTAACGTCGATCCCAGAGGAACGTCCCTTTGTCCCGCACATTTATCATGATTATCCACGCTGAGTAATCATTCTGTAATCATAGTCCTTTATGTTGAATAGAATATCCGATAGAATTATCATAACTCTATTGCAAAATCTCCCACGGAAGGAATATTTTTCCATAAATATAAAAATTCTATAAAATAAAAAAATTTACTGGAATATTAATAAAATCTGATATAAGAAGAAAGTAATTTTAACAGAATCGATGAATATATGATTTTATATAAATAAAATAGAATTATGTTCGATATATGAATGTATCGGAAACGTCGCTTTTATTATAATATTTATTCCTCAAATATACTATAATATTCATGAAATGATAAAAAGAAAAAGAAGTAAAAAAATGAAAAAATTCTCTCAGAATAGATATATTATTAAAGAAAGAAAATTCATCTTATGTAATATATTTTAAAATAATTATAAATGTCCGACAAATTCCAAATGTTGCATATTTCTATTCACAAAT